TGAGCAGATGCACTCAAATGGCAAAAATCCGTGAACGAAAAAGATTCAAAATGAGAAAATATGAACAATGGAAGAAACGGTGTCAAAAACCAAGTCCCGAGTAGAGAGATATGCCCCGAACAAGTTCAGCAGCAACCGGGGCCAAAAACCCTGAAACTAAAGAAAAACAACCAGAAAGAAATTCCAAGAATTTATGAGTCGACGAAAAGTGAAAATGAATCCCATACGAGGATCCAGGCTCCAGATGAAGTATTTTACAATAATTTTCATTAATTACAAAATGGCCCCTCCAAAAAGGGTTAATTCACTAATGCCCCAGAATAAAAATATCTTCAAAAAATATTTTCTTAAAAACCCTTGAAATAAAATATTTTCAAAATGTATTTACGAAAAACACCCCAAGAAAAGAAAAAGATTCTGAAAAACTTTGCATCCATGCCCCTATGGACACCGGGAGCAACCAGAGTACTTTCTTACAAAAGTAAAGATACGTATTTCGTGGAAACCACTTAGAATGAAGATACGTGAAGTCAAAAACCAACTCCAAACACAAATAGTGAGGTTACGCCAATAAAGTGACAAACGGGGAAAAGACAAAATAGGAAAAAGGACGAAATAGGGAAAATGACGAAAAGTGAATAGTGTCGAAAAACGAAAAATGTGAAAATGACTCGGTCCTCAATGGAAGTTGTCAATCCAAAGGAAAGAGTCTCAGAAACCATTTCCGAGCACTCGAGACGACACTAAGCGACGATAAACTGAACTCAGAAAAGAAATTTTAACCAAAAAAATTCATCCGTAAAATTCTGAGGAAAAAGGAAAGGAAGGAAATGACCGGGTCATTACATCATCCTTAGCTGCAAAAACTCTTAAGGAGATCTCACTAAACTTTTTAGTATTTAAAAGCTTAAAATGCTGCTTCAAAGACTTGAGCTTCCTCGTCACTTGGAACATAAAGTTCCCATCCACCCTAATATCCCACACATTAGTGACAATGGACAAGAAATCCCTATGGTTCCCAAGGAAATATGAAAACCTGAAGGGACTATTTCTTCTTGGATTAGGATTACCAACTTTAACAACCATTGGAGAGTGGTTTGAGACTCCATGGGGTAAAAATTCACACTCAAAAATAGGGAAAGTAGTAAGCCATTTGTTATTTGCCAAAACTCTATCAAGCTTTTTTGATATATTGGCTGCACCTGGGCTTTTGTTAGTCCATGTAAAAAAGGTTCCACAATACCTCAGATCACAAAGTTCAGAGGTGTGGATACACTTATTAAATTCATCAATAGCTGGAGTCCATCTCTGAGATCCACCAAAACACTTTGAAGGGTGCCTGATGAATTAAAATCTCCCAAAAGAAGCCATGGAGTCTGTGGGGCAGTTGCAGCAAGTCGACATATATCTTTCCACAATCCTCTCATGTAGTCTGCATTATTGTAAGCATAAATGATGGAGAGACTAAAATTAGTATGACCACTATCAATAGTGACTGAGCAGTGGATAGCATGAGCACTATCACTTAATTTCTGGACTTTGATGAACCGCGGATCAAACAAAATCCATATCCTCCCAAGAGAAGAATGGCTATAGTTGTGAAGTAACTGCCAAGAAGGGGCAATGTTCTTCAGCACAGAAGTTGCATTTCCTTCTTGGACTTTGTGTTCCACAATAGTAATTAACTGGAGCTTAGATTCATAAATAAGCTTCCTTATTTCTCTTTGTTTTCAGGGGAATTGAGACCCCTGATGTTCCAAGCTGCTGTACTGATCATTGGGAGTATTGGAGCACTAGGCCTGGAAAGCCTAGAATAGGCATCTCCTGGGTAATATCACCCTTCTTCTTCTCCTTCTTTTTCTTCTTCTTTTTCCCCATCTCAACCTCCTTCATTTTTCATCATCTGTAACAACCTTGCTATCCTGGTTCGCAGAGGTCATTGCAGTATCACTAGAAGTATGAGATGATTCAGCCTCTTCAGTGCTGGAAGTAACATCATCACCATGAAAAGAAGTCTCTTGGTCTTGATTATAGCAACTAGGTTCACTTTCAGGCACCATTGGGAGAGTGCAACCTGTTGGGGGAGGTTCAATATCAGAATTCAATGAGGAGAATTGGTTAGCAGCCAACAAGGAAGGTGGAGGATTAACACAATCATTGAAGGGTTGCATAATCTCTGAGCAAATTTCTGTGTTGGTGCCAGGGTCATGGAGCTCAACATTGGTAGATGAGGCAACCTTCTTGTTCTTCTGAACCATCTTCCATTCAGAGGTAGCACCACCAGGAGCACTCACAGGAAGGGTAACACTAGTAGGTAGGGGGTTAGGGTCCCTAGCAGCAACATTGGACTTGCAGTTTGAAGTAGAGTGCCTGAAACACTTACAAACATCACAAACATGAGGTATCCACTGGTACTCTATATCAATGGTGATATGTTTACCATCCTCAATTCTGATTTGAAAGTCTTCCACAATAGGTTTAGCAGCATTAACTTCTATACAAACCCTTGCATAGCTTATTCTTGTCATAGATTCAGTCTGTTCATCTACAAATAAGGGCTTCCCCACAACACTGGTGATATAACTTAGGCCCTTAGCAGTCTAGTACTCATATGGAATGTTGAAAAACTTGACCCATAAAGGTATGGTACTACAGGTTTCCTTGTTGAACTCCATGCCTTTCTCCCATTTTTTGAGAATGATTGGTCTGCCCATAATCATCCATGGCCCATTAACAAGGACATTTTTATATTCATCTTCATTTGAAAATTTGAAAATGTAAAAACCTCTATCATCTCCACGTAGCTCCTCAAAACCCATTGAACCCCAAAGTTTCTGAGCTTGTTTAAGGACCAAGGAGTATGAGAGTTTTTTCTGCAAAAAATAGCCTACTAAACTGGCTTTCCATTCCTGTATTCCTTCTTTGGCTAGATTAGCAGGAAGATCAATAACTTGAATGAATCTGTATAATCATCGGAAAGTTCTCCTATTGGGTAATTAGTTGCTGGGAGTTGGTGCATTGCAGTAGTATACAAAATTAGGACTCGTGTTGTGCATTTATAGAGCTCACCCAAATGTTACTCTCCTGAATAGGGGATGATGGCAGTTAAAAGTTTGGTACTTGTTCGGTTCAATTAATTTATTATTTATTAGGGTTTCAGAAAATACTTTTTAGAAAATTACAGAAGAACATTATCAAAAACTAGGTCCTTTTCAACTCCAATTTTCCAGAAAATTATCAACCAAAATGAATTTTGGAGCTGTTTTCTATTTTTCAGTCGAGGAAATAGACATGGTATATATGCCTAACTCAACTCTCCGCTGATTTAGTTTACATGTTTCAACAAACGAGAGAGTTTTAGAGCTTGCAAATATTAAAATCTTGTAATGGTTGAATATAGTTTCTCTATGAATAAAGAGAAATAAATTTACATAATTTCTAAAAAGAAACTGTGTCATCTTGTTATTGTTTCATTTCAGCATATTGATTAACAATGTTGGGTTACTTCTATGTAGAATAATAAATTCTGAAACAATCAAATATCGATGTACAACATATTTTTCTAAAAAATTAAAAAAATTAAGTTCTGCTTGCATTTCTCAACACAACCTTATAAATTTACGCTCAACTTGGAGAATAAAACAATCAGAAGCTTTCTACCGCTAAAAAAAGGAAACAGTTTTTCTAGCAACATAAGACAATCAATTGAATTTGGTTTATTGAAAAGGGTTTATTTTATTATTATTATTTTTTTCCCTGGCAAATTAGGGGGAGCCCATTGAAAAGGGGTTCAATGGGGTGTAGTTGTTGGCCAATTAACATTTCACACCAGTATTTATGGTGAAAATGTGAGCAATATAATGAATACTGTTTACTTTATCACAGAAGACTAGGGATTGCACTAGGCCGGGATCTCATTCTCTATCCTGGCTTAATTTTTTCATCCCCATAATCGCTCCAAAATTCACTGGAATTTTCAAAGCAGTCTTCATCCCGTCTCCTTTTACATAATCGGTTTCTCAATACACCCCAATATGGGGCGGGCTCCACCGAGGTGGGAATTTTTGCCATCTTTACTCGCAACTCTCTTTTTTCACAAGACTTGAGACATGAAACGAAGGGTTAGAATTTTCCAACTGTGTGTGTGTGTGTGTGTGTGTGTGTGTGTATACTTAAATATATCATAGTATGTAAAGATAATTTGATAAATTTATAGTATATTCGAAACTGGGCAACCCTACCCCTAAAACGCCCAAAACCCGTCAGGTTTTTCAAAGCAACTCTCATCTCCGTTCCCGTTTACATAATCGATTTTCCAGAACCATCACCCAAATGGGACAGGACAGGACACCCCACCGGGGTGGGGATAGAAGACCAAACTAAAAATAATACGGAAGTCTCTCGCATTAACTAACATGAAAGTACTTTCTCGAATGAGCTTGTGACTTTAATATTGTGGGGAAAAAAAAAATTGGAGAGGACTTTGCTCCCAACCTTATAAATTAAGTTCTGATTGCAATTCTCATCACAACCTTATAAATTTAAGCTCAACTTGGACGATATCATAAGTTTTCTACCACTTAAAAAAGAAAACAGTTTTTCTAGCAACACAAGACAATCACATTTCACACCAGTATTTATGATGAAAATTTGAGCAATATAATGAATACCATTTACTTGATCATACAAGACCAAACCAAAACTAATTAAGTCATCATGAAATCGCTCTCACATTAACTAGTGCTTAACATGAAACACTACACCTAAAAAATGGTAAGGACTTTGCTCCCTAGACAAGTAATGGTGCTGGCAAAACAGAAAATCGTTTTGAATCTGAAAATCCGAAAAATGGTAAATTATTTAGAGTCCGGCTGTAAAGTGGGGGATGACTGGCTGACTCGCATCAAAACAGTTGCCATTCCGCTACACCTAAAATCTATGATGGCGGACTAACCAGCATCATACAGTTCACACTACACTGTAGCAGTCTATATAGACAATATCAAACAAGAATACACACGAGCAAACTTCAATTAATTAAGTCTTCCCTGTTAATCTGGGGAAAAAGGAGAATCCATAAAGAGTTGGCAAAAAACAAAACAATATTGTTCAATTCCTTCTTCTTCTAAATCTTGTAATAGTTACCAAAATGACATCATATTCACCTCCACAGCGCATGTGCAATAAGAATTCACTCTTAAAAAGAAAAAAGAAAAAGAAAAGCCCAGAATTAGACCAGCTTAAGCGAAGTTTTGGGAGGCATAGATTTGAACTACTTTCCCATTGTCAGCACAGAACTGTCGAACCAAAGAACCAGGCAGTGATTCCAAATTAGAAAAAGAAAGGCCGTATGATCTAAAAGTCTACAAAGCTAACACAACCAACAAGCACAATAAACCTTTCCATTACTGAATGAGCTCAGTTGCATTGATGAGCTTTGATTATCCTTCTTGGAGCTCTGGAGGGAAAACGTCGGTTCACCTACAGGGTCTACATTAGATGCTTTACTCTCATTCCTACTTTCATCTGAGGGAGTAATATTCTTCATCTTTCCTTCATATTCTGGGGGGGAGATCTGATGAAGTGCATTGCCAGCAGACTCGGCACCAATCATGTTCTTATACATCTGGAGAGCTACAGCCATTGCGCTGGCAGGATCTGTAGTATTTGTAGGAAGCGACATTGTTGTGCCCTGAGAAGACAAAGAAGGAAAATAGAAATCAAACGCTTTGGTCATTAAGCATCAAAACCAATAATATGATACAATCTTAAAATAGGTCCGGGATTAACCTCTTTGGCTATATTGCCGAATGCGTGGAGGTATTGCTCTAGACTTGGTGCCTGCAAATCCAACCCTAATCACGAGCCTTAATGCATATCAAATACGAGCTTCGTAAATAAAGAATATTTCAGTATATGCAAATAAATTTAGACTCAATAATTCATGTCTGAGCTTTTGCAAATGACATACCATATTCTTTGTACATCTTTAAACAATATCAAAAGCATAGTTTTTACCAAAGAGGTGAAGACCTGACAGATTGCATATGTAAAGTAGTGACAACACATTTCAAGTGAGGAAAAGGAAATAAACAGTGAAACTCTGCAAATTGCAGAAAACAAGAAAATACTATGAATTCCCAAGGAAGGCATGCAATGGCTGACAGAGACTGATTGGCATAACTACATTTTGTAGACGTAAAGGGACAGCATGCAGAAAGATGCAACTCCAATGTGTAACATTGTTATAGAAACTACCAGAAACTTGCAATAACCATTTTGTCCCAATAGAGGTCGTGTAACAAGAACAAAAGTAAATAACAAAATGTGTGATAGTGTAAGAAAAATTTGACTTAAATCAACCAAATAAAATACGGAGTATTTTTAAGAATGCGCTTGGATGAGAGCCAGAAGGGGGGAAAAATAATCCAAATCACTCTTCCAATAGAGAGAGAGAGAGAGAGAGAGAGAGAGAGAGAGAATTCTTAGGCTGGCTGTAAAGCTATTCAAAACTCCTGCCACAAGTACCTTCTGCTTCACTAGAATGCTGTCCTGTGGATTTTGATGGATAAGTTCTTGAGAAAGGAGGGTAGGAAACTTCCATAAGGAAAAAACACTAAATGGAACACCTCCTGAAAATTGCTGATGGCAGTGAGAGCGTCTATTGCCAACAAACTAGAATTTAGAATACTCACAACCTATTGCAGAACTATATCAATGTGTTCACCGATTTGTGTTTTATCTTATTCTGGGTATCAACTGTTTTTATTATTGCAATAGAAATAACCCTACTCATAGTTTACTCATCCAGAATAATAGTAATATAAAACAAACTGCCAGCCAGCTAAGTGATATACTCCCTCAAACACCACGCACTTGCCAAAAAAGAGAGAGAGAACGGCCAAGAGTTACTGCAATTCAATCTCGAAAGTAAAAACTAAAAACCCCACATAACAGTTGTCATGGGCAATTGTGGTGTGTCAGTAAATGCAACTAATCACAAATACAAATATCATAACCACCACTATATATATTGTCAGATCAATTTAGATGTATAATAAGCTGCAAAGTAAGTTTACCATGTACATCAACTAAATTTCCAAAAAACCATCAACCCAATATAGTCAACTTGTATCAATGTGTTCACCGACTTGAGTTTTATTTTATTCTGGGTATCGACTGTTTTTATTATTGCAACAGAAATTACCATTTTCATAGTTTATCATTCCGAATATAAGTGATATAAAACAAACTACCAGCCAGCCAAGTGATATACTGAGAATCCAACCTGAAACATCATGCACTTGCCGAGAGAGAGAGAGAGAGAGACCAAGACTTACAGCAATTCACTCCAGAAAGTAAAAACCCCACATAACAGTTCTCTTGGGCAATTGAGGTGTGTCGGTAAATGCATCTAATCAATCGCATGTGCATATATCATAACAATCACTATATATACTAACGGATAAATTTAGATGTATTACAGGCTGCAAAGCCAGGTCAGCATGTACAACAACTAAATTTCCAAAAAACTAAAAATATCAATTTAAAATGCTGTAGTCAACTTGTAGCCCAATCACATGGAAAAGTTCTACAGTTAAAGGTGAGGAATTTCTGCAAGTTAATAAAATATGAAAGACTTATGCAAGGTATGAAATCCCAACACACCATACATGCAATCAAGAGTAATGAAGATCATTACCTCTACTCCACCATGCTCTTTAAGGGCCTCTGACACCTTCACAATTCCATCAGCTGTTGCCTGTGCCCTGGCAAAGATAGCTGATGCTTCTCCTGATTTCACAGAACAATTGAAAAAATTGTCAATGAGGAGTGGAGGATATAAAAGAGGTGGAGCAACAATACTGCAGATGCATCAACATCAACATAATCCTTTGAATTATCCAAATAATATGGATAAGCTAATACAGAAAGATTGCAGGATAGGCTAGTAGAGAACAGTTGCAGGGTCAAGAATATATAGGACTAGAGCATCATTGAACATAAAGCGCTCCACAAATTGACATCTACATAAAGTTCGCCACTATTCTTAGAAATGTCTATAGAATAATCAACAGTTAATTATGTCCAACACTACATATAGATATAGCTAGCCAATCACTGCTGCTCTATGGTGGTTAAATTAAAAATTAAATGAGGAAGCTATAACTAAATTGATGAAATCATGAAAACTATCCTTGAGCATGGTTAATTATAAAATCATGAAAACTAACCTTGTGCTCTGTTAACCTGGTCCATCTTTGAAGCTTCTGATGCAAGGATCACCGAACACTTTTTCCCATCAGCAATATTAATATGTGCCTGTCGTTCTCCTGTTAAATATAATTCACCAGTAATCAAGGATATAAAAGGAAAAAAGACTCTGGAAACAACATTCCTTGGTATAATAGGTGTTACGACAAATGCCGTAAACCAAAAAACAAATCAAGAATCAAGCTGAAAAGTAAACACGCCACACACAAAGGACACAAAGATTTATATGGTTCGGCGTAAAGCCTACGTCCACAATGAAGATCCGGCGAAAGATTTCACTAAGCAAAAATCAGGAGTCTAAAGTTTCAACCACCAAACCCTAGCTCTCTCTCTCAATCTCTTCCTGCAATTTTCAGTGTTCTCTCATATCCCACTACAAACCCTAAACGCCCTTATATACTAGGCTACATGAGAGTCCTAAACTAGGTCCAAGGCCCTCAAGTGGAAAAACGACTCAAAACCGGGTCACAACATGGCCCAGGCCGAAACAAAATTCGGGCCACATCACAATAGGTTTGTTAACTTCCCTTCATTAGAAGCCAAAATTATGTGGTTGAATAAGGTGGAATCTTTTCTTGACAAACTCTGTACTTTTAAGGCGGTGGGAAATGGCTAAAATTAATTAGCTTGGAGATAAAGTACAATGGTCCCATTTGGGGGCAAAATCTTTGTTGAATATGCTAAGGCTGCTTGACTAATAAAAATGTTCACATCAGGAGGATTAATAGGTCAACTGCACTTTTAAATGTAAACTCTTGGCTTGGACGATGACATAAGATTTTGATATCAGGTCACTTGATTAATGGAGGTTGGATGATTCCTAATGGGTGTTAGATGCAAAGAAATAAGGTGAAATCAGAGAAACATTTGCACATCCAATTACTAGATGCTATAGAGATTTGGTAACTCTTTCTTTCCACTTATGAGGCATTTCTAGATCCTGCCTTCGTAGTTGGCGTACTGTTATGGGAGTTGGCATTGCCAGGACCTTATAATTTTAATTTTGTTATATAATCAACTTAATGCATGTTGTGTTGCATTTGGAAAGTAAATAGAAGAATCTTTCTTGGTTGCTATGGATTTTAGAGATTCTTTCTTAAACGCGTATCCAGGTTGATCGTGTCAAGAGGGATGGGTTTTTTGGATATGTGTGTAGACTTTCTTTTGCTTGACCTAATTGGGTTTCTGCATAATGCAAATGCTAAATGTACATCAGACCTATCTCTCCTTTGGTTAGACTGATGTGAGTCACAATTACTTCTTTTTTTTTTTTATTACGAATATAAGTCTCAGTTGTCAAAGAAAGAATTTACAAAGCCATGTGATGAAAAATTATACGCATCTCTATTAAATAAGAAATCAGCCTATGGAGTATAACTGTCTGAATCAGAGTACAAACCTGATTCCAATCCATAGATTAGTCCATTATTCAACTACAGAGAGAACTGAAATTTTAAAATAAATAAAGGGGGGCGGAAAAAAGGCTACGGTACCTTCTGATTCAAGAACTACAGCTCTCTTTTTCTCCATAGCTGCCTTAACTCCACGAGCAACAATTATGTCCCCTAAAGAATACAAGATAATTAAATGTATATGAAAGCACTGTAGGAAAAAAATTAATGAAGAAAAAGAAAAGAAGAAAGTTAGACAAAAAGTTCACTTACTTATTTCATAACGAAGGCACTTCAGACCCCAATCTTTTGCAGCCTTATTGCATTGATGGCCATCTGAGATAACAAGACCAGTTTAAAATTAACTAACTGTAAGCATATAATAAAAAAAAAAAGATAAAACTATAACCATAATGAACTTGAATTGCAACATACTTGCCATACAGAGTAGATATGACCTACTAAATAAGGTGCTAATCAAGTTCTACAACATTAGAACAGAAACATGATTCCGATTGCAGCATAAAGAGCAAGCAAGGCGTATAAGACTCGAAGATTCGGAATATATATGTGTGTGTGTGTGTGTTTTGTATCATAAAAACGTTGCCTCAGCTTCTTCCTCCTTCAGAATGATTGACCAAATTTGTTCAATTTTTGGTATCCCTTGGCATCAAACTAACTATTTTAAAATACTTAATATTAATTTTTAAATTTACACTCCATATAATAAGTTTTAGACTTACTATTTTTAAACTTTTTTAATTCAAACTAACCATTTTACCCTAATGTACTCTCATTAACTAAGATCATCACCATGGAGACTTTTTCAACACTCTCAGCTCAGTTCATTCCCTTTTTATTCAAACTCAGTATATACCAAATAAATACACCATGCAAACTTTTTCAACATAGTTTCAACTCTGTCTATTCATAAACAATGATAAGTGTGGCAACTTGTAATAAGCACCTATTATAAATTAAATTCACTTCCTTCTCACAAAGCTGCACCACACATTACCCGCGCAAGATAAAGTGCACAGTGCACTGAATGATTATGTCCATGAGTCTCACATACAATTGCAGAAACTTGCAATATTACCTTCCCAAGTACCATACAATTCCCATAAACCATTGAAGTCCATGGTTCACTTCTTGATGTTTGTACAAAGTAGAAAAATTATGTGAATCTATTGAGATATGGTATGTGGTAGGTGAACATTTATGGTAATGTCTTAGTCTATTTAAATTACTTTCTTCAAAATTCAAAGTACCTTTCACAATTTTTTTTTTTTTTTTGATAAGTAAAAGTACCTTTCACAATTTTAAAAGAGCATTATCCAATGGTTTCAATAATATAATTTTTTCTTGTAAATTATAAAAGAACATTATCCATAGCTTGGTTTACGATATGTCCACTATGTAAAAAAGATGCCATACTATGAGTTTAAAAACTGAATCAATGGAGTACTTAAAATAATCAACAACCTCCCAATGTCAAATGTTGATATTGGGACTACAACAGAGAACTCATGCAGTAATTGGTGCAGTAATTGATGCTCGATGCTAACATAATCAGAGCTCAAACAATCCACTACCCAAAAGAAGGCAGACAACTATGAAATTCATCAAATCTACTGAAATCTCACCACTATCTTCGCATTCAGAGTGTCCCTTTCCTCAAATGTCTTGCCAAATGTAATCTTTCCAAGCTCACTACGCATAGTGGTCTGTGCAAGCTGAATAACCGCATACAATGGATTCTCAACACCATAGGATGCCAACAGAGGGTCCACAATCTGCAATCAATAACTTTCAATCCACCAATCCAGCAGAAAATCCAAAAAATCGAAAACACGAAACATACCTTAACATAAAGCACTCCGTTAATCAAGATTCTAACATTATCCTTCGTGATAGCAAACTTATCCGGAATCGGAATCGCCTCTTCTTTCAAAGAATGCACATACGCAATCCGATCCACCGATGGAACCAACAAGTGAATACCAGGAGTCAGAGTCTTCACATACCTTCCAAACCGTTCCACAACATAAGCCTTCTTTTCAGGTACTATTCGTATGCCCCAATTGATTGGAGGTGCAATCTCATACCTAGTCTCACAACCACAAATCTAAACTTAAGTAAAAACTACTAAACAATTCAACACAACAGAAACTTAATATATACATAAACAAAACATATATGCAAACATATATATTCGCAGACATATGTATTGTTCCTCAAATTGACAAGACTTATGAGAAGGAATCTCATACCAATTCACAAAAGGCACAAGCATTAGCCACTAAACAAATCAATATAGCAAAAACATAATCTATGTGTGTGTGTGTATATATATATATATATATATGAACGCATATACGTCTGCATATATATATATATATATATATATATATATATATATGTATTGTTGTTACCTTGAACTACTAAGCAATCCAACATAAAAGAAACCTAATATATATGCATAAACCACACCTACATACAAATATACATTCGCATACAAGGATATTTTTCTCAAATTGATATAAATCAATATAGCAGAAACATAATCTATATACATGTGTGTGTGTGTCTACATAGATTATTAAGCAATTCAACAAAGCAGAAACCACAAATTCAAGCTCGAGTAAAAGCTACTAAGCAATTCAAAATAGCAGAAACCTAATATATGCATAAACCACACATATATACAAAGTATATACTCGTATATATGAATTGTCTCCCAAATTGATAGGAGGAATCTCGCACCAATTCACACAAGGCACACGCATTAGTCACTAAATAAATCAATATAGCAGAAACACAATCAATATACATATATAGATAGATAGATAGATAGATAGATAGATGAACGCATATAAGTATGCATATGTGTGTGTGTGATGTTGTTACGTGGAAATGGGATCGCGATTGGTGCACAGATGGCGGACGGCGAAGGGGAGTAGAAATGGGAGAGGAGAGGAGCTAGAAGGAGGAGATAAATGGTTGGAGAGGAGTGAGGACTGTTTGAGAATCAAGGTGGGAGAGGAATTGGAAATCCATCTGCGAGTGGGTGCCAATTGGCTTAGGTGTTGAAGAGATATTAGGGTTTTGATGGAGCTCTGCTTGGCTATGTTCATGATTTCCGATTCTTGCTTGATTAATTGGATTTTGAGTCTGTGATTTGGGGATTTCTCCTCTTCTACTACTACTAGTTCTACTTCTTGTTCTGGTTCGCCAAGAAAACTGTGTGTGTGTTAGGTGACTGTTTGGGCACAGAGTGTTTACAAAACCATGGTAAAACCCAAACTGTGGAAGTCCACTCGATTGAATTTTTAGTTCAAGACGATCTCTAGAAGAGACCTTCAGAATAGGGTTTACTTCTTGGGTGGTCCAATCCACGATCCATATTTGGTTTGGGCCCATTCTTCAGGACCTATGGCATGGGCTGAATGTGATCAGATCCAATTATCGGGTCCAATACCAGTTGTGTTTGTAAGATCTAGTTCGGATAAAATGCAACTTGCAACATAGATAAATTTCTCTTACAAACAAAATATTTCAGGTAGAGTTTGAATTTAACGAGAATTCTTGTATTCCCTTTTCTTTGTTGGAGTCACGATTCGTTATGCCTCTTTTTTATTTATTTATGGATAATGCTTCAGTCCGGCCTTATCAAGACAGATTGTGCCTTACACATTAACGTCTTATACCAATTTTTTAGATTTAAACCCAATAAATCTATTTTCTTTTAATCATTTTTTTTTTTTTTTTCCCTCTCTTTGCTCCCATCTATGTATCTCACTCAATTCTAATTGACACGTGAGATTTAAAATCTATTTATTGTTGGTATTCGACAACTAATTTAAAGAAAGTTTAAAAACTGCACCATTTTAAAATAAAAAAAATTTACCAAAATTTAAAAACTTGCACCATTTTGAGATAAAAGAAAAATTTACCAAAGTTTAAAAATTGCACCCTTTTAATTTACTATACTCTAACGACGTTTAACGTGTTATCTCTCCCTCATCTTTTCCGAAAAAAAAAAAAAGATATTTTCTCTCTCTCTTTTTGCATATTCCTATGATTGGAGGAATATTTCGTACCAAAAATAAATGTTCTTTGCCATGGAATTAAGATGGACAAAAATGTGATTGCAAAGCATGCAACATTTTTCGGCAATAGTAATAGTTGGAAAAGAATATATATATATATGCATAGATATTGATATTGGGGTTAGTAAAATACAACCAAAAACCCTATATATAGAAAAGATGAGAGAGAACATCCATCGGGTTAAAAGAGAAACAAATATCATCGTGACTTGTTTAAGATAGAAATAAGGAAGAGAAAGATGGAAGATCTTTTTTTGGAAAAAATGAAGGAAAGATAATGACATTAAACGTAATTAGAGTATTGTGATTTTTCTTAATTCAAAAGGGTGCTGTTTTTAAAATTTGGTAAAATTTTCTTATCTCAATACGTGCAGTTTTCAAACTTTCTTTAAATTAGTTGATTTGGTTTAACACAAACAGTAGATAGATTTAAAATGTCATGTGTCAATATGTAGCGAATTTAACCTAGGATAACTTAAAGAATATTTAACTTAGATGATCAAAGTCCTCCTACGAGACCTCCACTTTTTAGAATAATAAAAATTCTTTTAATTTTGAAATAGTTCCAGGCAGTTTTTTAAAATCATATTAAAAAGAATATAAAGTATCTTCTTTTAATTCTGTTTCTAGAGAACAACTCATGGAAAATTGTCTTTCCAACATTTTTCTCTTATTTTTAATTTTTTTTTTAAATAGAAAACTATCCTTAAAAAATATGAATTAACCATTTATATGTCTCCCTTTCTAAAAAATTGCCTGAAACTATTTTTTATGCATGCTATTGACAGAATTAATGATTTGCGGCTAAAGCTAAGGAAAAAAAAGACGCAGATGAATATGTGAGTGAGATACACAGATGAGAGCAAAGAAAGGAAAAAAAAATAGATGTCAGGTTTAACCCTAAAAAATGGGTATAACATATGTTTTGTATTTTTTTAAGTTTAAAAAAGGTGTCAACCTCTTATTGGGACATATTAGTATGGAGGATACAATTTGTCTTGATGGGGCTGAATTATTATTCTTTATTTATTGACAATCTAAAATGTCAACCTAATTTAAAAACCTTCTACACTTTAAAAAACGATCACATTGTCCCAATATCCGTATCCATTATGAACTGATAAATTTGAACTTACTATTTAATGTTAAATTAAAAACTAAAAAATATTTTTTAAAATTACAAAAATACCCTTTGGTGGTTGCTTAAAGCTTTTTGGTTTGCGTAGCCTTCTCGTTGATTCTCAGGCTTCGATCATTGTCGTGGTTCATGCAAGAAGGAAACTTTGAAGCTCTACGTTCACCGGACTATGATGTGGTTGCTACCCTATTGTTCTCACCAAAGCTGATGGGTAATCAAGTCTTACCAGAACTTCAACCCTCCACATTGTATTTCTCTAATTAAAATTAGGGTTTCATGATGAGGTGGATTCAGTTTGGGCTTGTTTGTTAAGCAATCGAACTCAAACTCGGTTTTTAGATTCGTTTAGTAAACGAGTCAATTCTAAATAATATAGGGTTTGGCTCATGTAGGCTCGTGAACATGAGCTCGTGTAGATTCATATATGTTCATGAATATACACTCGTAATGAGTTTATAAATATAAATGTGTATAGGTTTATATTCACTATGGATTATTGGGATGTTCTTATAAAAAATAAAAAATAAATAAAAAATCTTTTATGTGTTTATGAATATACACACTTATATAGGCTCATATAAGTAAACGAAGAAACCAATTAATCTTGAACACAAATTTAAATCATACTCGAATACTTTTGTTATTAAACGAGCTAAACTCGAACTTTTCAAATAATGACAAATCAAGCTTTAGCTTTTCGATGTCATCCCAACTCCAAGCCAACCCCATAAATGGACAAATCAAACCTAAACAAATTCAAGTTCGGTTCGGTTCGATTCATTTGCAATCTTATGTAAGATAGAATGATTAATCATAGTAAGAGTTATGCCACATGCAAATAATTAGACAATAATTAATATTTAATAAGTCCCATGCTTTTTAGAAATAAATAATTTTAAGAAATAACCTTGATGTCATATTGGATAATTAATAACTATTACTTAATAATTTTCATTGTTTTATAAAAACGCTATATTAGGAATAGTTAGAAGAGAATATATGTATAAACAAATACGCATAAGTTTATACATGTATATATTAAAGTATCATATATACTAGAAATTAACAATTTTTTTTTTCCTTAAGGATAATATGAAATTAGGACGAAAAAATAATAAAATTAACGATACTAAGACTCTTAGATTGTCTCACAAAGTCATGAAACTCACTATAAATATTGTGGTGTGAGTCTCATACTTTAAAATATATTATAAATATTGTGGTGTGAGTCTCATATTTTGTGACATATGGACTAATCGTGTGTCAGCTATAGGGGTGGCAAAATGAGTCAAAAACCATTAACCCATCCATATTTACCCGCCTTTTAATGTTTATGGGTGAACCATATTTAATTTAAAGGTCAGATAGGTTGGGTAATTTTTAACCACTTAATTTGAAGGTCAAGATGGGTTGAATATGGTTAATCATATTCAACCCATATTTCACTCATCACATAATAAACATACAACACATATTTATTCTATATTGTACTCAACTCATTTCTCTTTCTAAAATTCTCTCTCACTCACAATCCTCTCTCTAAATTTGCCTCTTATCAATCCCCTCTTTCTAACTTTCTCTCTCTAAAAATTTATTTTTAAAGAAATAAATTTAAAATTATTAAAAAATTTAAAAATAAAAATTTTTAAAAACTTCCGAAAAAAATAATTTAAAAATAAAAAAATAATTAAAAAAAATGTAAAAAAAATTAAAAAATAAATCAAATTTAAAAATAAATCAAAAAAATTAAAACCAATTTTGGTAGGTTCACATTTTGAAATTGACTGTAACATACCCATACAGCACCACCACCACCCAACTAGAAAAATAGAGCGGTATTAGACCACCACTCTACCACCACCACCACCGAGAAGACTGAGAACCTTGAAACTTGGTCAAGTAGAGCGGTGTAAGACGGAAATGGCGGAATGCAATTCAGTGAGTGAAGATTGTCGGGTTTGTGATGATCGATTCGACTGTTACACCAAACTGCATTTGAAATCTCTGTCGGAGCTTCCTCAGAATCCGGCGAATTTAGGAGCGACGCAGATTGATTCTCAAGAAGTTGAAAAAGAGCAGTGAAGGAACTACCATTTTCAGGTGGTACGGACATTAATATTTGAATTTCATATCCATATTGAAATGATTTGTGATGAGCACCGAAAAGTGCGCATTTAAACCCGTTAAGCTTAAGCATTCTAGTACCTTTATCTATCTTACTTTGCCGTTTTAGACTTATTACGTGTTATTTATATTTTCAGGCACTAATCCCAAAATTTAGCTAACTCAGCCAAATAAGAGCTTAATTGAAGCAATCCTGAGATAAACCAAAGGAGGGAGCAAAGTGGAGAAAGAAAGGAGCAAAAAGGAATCAAGTTGTGCAGCTGAAAAGTTCGATTGATCCAACTTAGAGTTCGATCGATCGAACATCTATGATCGATCACAGTACTTCTCGATAGATCCAACCTTGGCCTTTGCTGAAATTCAAAGTTTGATCGATCCAACATCACCTTCGATCGATCGAACCCTATTTTGTCCTATTCAAATGATTAATCTTATCCACAGTTGTACGCCTACCAACCATTTTTGTCCTTTTCCCCATAAATATCTTCGAAATATCTCAGCCTTGTCCTTATCCGGAGGAGTCAGACCACTTCGATCGATCCAAGATGCAGTTCGATTGATCGAACCTATCTTCGATCGATCCAAGTTAAGGTTCGATCGATCGAACTTCCTCCAGTGAGAAAAAGTTAAAGTCCAGCTCATTTATTCCGTCCTTTACCCAATCATTGGAGAATATGCCTTGCACGACCACAGCTCATCATAGGGTGTATTTGACCTACCTATATAAGGAATATGATACACTTTTTGGAGAGGAGTCTAGAGTCTCTTGTCACACATTGAAAATCATTTTTGGAGGCTATTCTTGGAGAGGAAGAAGGGAGGAAGCTAGAGCAACCATTGGAGGAGATCTTCACCAACAAGGAGCAGCCATGGAGTTAGCCCTTGAGGGTTGGATCATTACTACTATGAGTGGCTAGACATCTTCTTGGGGCTAGAGTTAACACCAAGCATGCTTTCTATACTCTAATCTTGTGTATTATTGAGGGATTAGTGTTGTATGATACATCTTGATATTCATGTATATATAAATCTTGATTATTTCATGGTTTGTATGGTTTAATGTTTCCAATTAACTATTCTATTCTACCCATATGTCTATGTATGCTAGAGTAGGATATTCATGTGCTTATCTCTAGATTTAGTGTTTTTGATGCATGTCTATGTGTATTGATGCTATAGATCTAGAGATTATCAAGATGATATGCTTAATGAATGCTATTTTGGTTCATTTGATGGTTTATGCCTATTCTTGATGGTTTGTGCCTCTCCCCTAGTCTAGATAGCTTTATTTTCATGCTAGTAGTGTAGATTTAGTGTAGTGGTAGTATAATGTTAGATGGGAGGACAATCTACTCTTGATGTTTGATGTTCCATGCTTGTGAGTCCAAATGGCATATTCCTCTAATATTGTGTTGCATGTGGATTGTGAGCTTAATGACGGATTAATGACTTGTTTTGATCTATTGTGCTAACCCCATGTTGTCTAGACAATATATGCTCTAGTGTTTAGATATATTGTACTCTTCACATGATGTTTAGACAATACTTGCTTGATTTGTCATCCTTGCCAATTGAATCAACCTAATGCACACACACCCTTATCATATTGCAACACATCCATTACCCTCAATTGATCACTTGTTAGTAGTATAGAAAAGTATTGCTTGGTGGTGATCTCTACACCCCAAGACCTCTCTCTCTCTTATTTACCTCATATTATTTTATTTAGTAGAATTCAATTTAGTATAATCAACCAATCAATCAACAATTGTGTGATCATTCGACCTACTAACCCTAATTACCATAGTTTCATAATTCGATACACCATCAAATCCCTTGGGACGATCCCTACTCGCCCTATCTATATTTTATATAGAGAAAGGTAGTAGTGGCTTTCTATAAATGTAAAACTTGGCTACCTCCTAAATTCACACACAACTCTTCAAGCTTGACTTGGTATCGCGACCTTTGTAAAAGAGGACACCCGGTCAGTTTTTGGCCCGTTGCCGGGGATTTTAAATTAGCTACGTCGAATTGTGAAATTCAGTTAGGATTAGTACTCTTTTGATCGTGTCTTTACTTTTTTTTTATTTTCTATTTTTGATTACTTATTAAGTTTGTTCTTCATTAACAAGGTGCATTGAGTAAGGAGCTAGCAAAGTAATTCCAAGCTAAGGAGCAAAGCAAAGCAAAGGAAGAATGCTTAAAATGAAAGATTGCTAAGTAAAATTGCTAAGCTAAGCTTTTAATTTTAGAGTTGAAGTGCTAAAGGACTATTGTGAGACCTTCTTACTCAATCTCCTTAGTTAAATCGGGGGCCCACGTGGAGGCATTTATTTGACATACATTGCATTTGAAAATTGTGGTTGTGAAGTTTAATTGCATTGTTGAAAAAGTTGTTTATTCGTGTTGCATTGTGCATGCATGGTCGTCGTTCATTGAGACCTACTCTTGTCCCTCTTGATTTGCATTTAGAATCCACTATTAGGAATCCAAGGGGAAGAGGAAGTTCACATAGAACCAATCTACCAATGGACGCTCTCAATAATGATCATGTTGAAGACTTTGGTCACATAGACCAATAAGGCATCCTTCACCCTAATGTGCAAAATGATAATATGCAAGTTCCATTAAGCATGCCTAGGCCATACATTCATCAACCTCCTCAACAACAAGGCCAAATTCCAATGGGAATTCCATGGGCAATGTATGCACCACAACCCCCCATCATTAATCAAGCTCAATATAACCAAGGTGTCCATGTTGCACCTCAAATTACTAATCCACCACTCGCATTGAGAGATCATTATGTGCCTAATGAGTATAATGCACCCACATGCATTCAATTGCCACCATTTAGAGCACACCATTATGAGATTAAAGCACAAACTATCCAAATGCTACCTAACTTTCATGGACTTCCTAGTGAAGAACCTTACAAGCATTTGGATGAGTTTCTTGAAGTTTGTTCTACTGTTCGATACACGGACATGCCGGAAGAAGTTTTAAGGCTAAAACTTTTTCCATTCACCCTTAAAGATAAGGCGAAGTATTGGTTTAACAACCTTAGGCCTTTTTTTATAACTTCTTGGGTAGAAATGCAACAAGAATTTTTGAAAAAGTACTATCCGGTTTCGAAGACCAATGCTATGAGAACCGCCATTAGGGAATTCACACATGGGGAGGGAGAAACTTTCCACGAGGCATGGGAACGCTTCAATGAATTGCTTAGGAAGTGTCCTCACCATGACATGCCTAAATGGCAATTGGTCCAATACTTCTTTGAAAGCTTATCGGACAATTATAAAGGCATGGTTGATGCTTCAATGGGAGGTTCTTATATAGACCGACAAGAGGAAGACGTGTGGCGTCTTTATAAGAGCATGAGTGAAAACTCTTTGCATAGAACATTGTCATCTAGGAATGGTAGAAATTTTCAAGGTAGGAAGAGTGTTGGCTTGCATCAAGTTGACCACTCAAATGATATAACCGCCGAGATGAAGTCTTTATCTCAAAAGTTTGATCAATTGATCAATCAAAACTTGGCGAATCAAGTGTCTTCCTTTCCTAACCATTCTCATAGAGCTCAAAATGAATCATGTATGACTTGTTCTAGTGTTCTTCATTCTACTTCTAATTGTCCTCATGGACAAATTCAAAATGAACCCATTGAGCAAGTTAATGCAACATTTGTGAACCAAGGGAACAATCCTTATGGTAACCATTACAATCCCGGTTGGAGGAATCATCCGAATTTTTCTTGGAAAAACCAAGGGGAGGGCTCGAACTCTTCCCAAGGCAGTTTTTAAGGGAAATACATTCCACCTCCACTTCAAAACCAAGGATCCCAAGGTTCAAGACCATATAACTCACAAGGAAATCAATTTGCTAATTCTCATTTTCCTAACCAATCATATTCTCAAGGAAATTCTAGAGGTTCCGCTTTTGAGGAAAATGTTTTAAATGCTTTGGGCACTCTAGAAGCAAATACTCAATTGTTGCATTCTCATTCTCAATCAATTGCCAAGCTAGAAACCCAAGTAGGGCAAATAGCTGAAACACTTAATGCTAGAGAGAAGGGAAAGATGCACATGAATGCCCCAATCAAACAACAATGTGTTGTAGAAACCAAATCCTCATTGGAAGGGCATAATGTTGAGCATGTCAATGCGGTAACAACCTTGAGAAGTGGTAGGGTAGTAGACAATCAAGTTAGAATGCCTAATGAAGAGAGTGAACCGGTACAACCTCAAGTTGTCACCCGTCCCGTTCCACACACTATTCCTCCTTCATTGCATGTGCATGATCTTGAGAATGAGAAGCCCTCAAATTGTGAGTTGAAAGATGATTTCCAAAGAGATTCATTGAAAACAGTGTTAAAAAATGTGTTTGAGAAAAGTTCTTTGAAAAATGTTATTCATGATTCTTCTTTGAAAAGTGATTTGAAATCCAATGAATCGAACAAGTCCAATGCTGAAAATTCTTTGAAAGAAAATGCTGAAAGATTTTTTGAAAAAGCTCCATTTCCGGACGCCTTGAAAGGGTCCATTTCAAAAGAAAGGCAAAAGACCAAGAACAATGAGATAATGGATATGTTTAGGCAAGTCACAGTCAATCTTCCACTTTTGGATGCAATTAAGTAAATTCCGGCTTATGCCAAATTCTTGAAGGACTTATGCACCCAAAAGCGGAAGAACAAGAGCTAAACATCAAAAAAAGTGGTCTTAACCGAACAAGTGAGTTCCATTCTACAGCACAACACTTTGCCAAAGTTTAAGGACCCCGGTGCACCTACAACATCTTGTGTCATTGGTGAACATGTCATCAACCGGGCACTTCTTGACTTAGGGGCTAGTGTTAACCTTCTTCCCTATTCGGTTTATGTCAAATTGGGCCTAAGTGAATTGAAACCGACGTCGGTGGTTTTACAACTTGCCGACCGATCCATTAAGAAGCCTAGGGGGATAATTGAGGATTTGTTGATTAAGA